CTGCTCCAGCCAGATGCTCCTCCGGCGAATGCCTTGCCCCCTTTGTCGCGTGGCGTCCACCACTGTGCTTCGAGGTGGGGAGGGAAGCTGCAATTTTCAAAAATTTGAGTAGACTCATGCATATATATATAGATGCAATATAGATCTGGAGACCTGGCTTTGTCTCATTGACGACTAGAAGAGAGTCAGATGTTTAAGGGACAGCTCTTTTGTGCCAGGGGAACATGCTGGACGTCCTCGAACATTTGAGTCAAACATGACAAACTTACGTGCAGCTCCGGCACCTCCACAGGCACATCCCCAAATGACGCTCAATGATTTGAACGAGAAAAGACGTCCGTGGATTTGGAAGACCAATGCCACTGCATTTTTTTTGATGCGACGGAATGCCTTTGGCCTCTCCATGTGTCATTCTGCGCGCTTTTGCAGTCATTCTTTGCAATTTCTGATAAGATCTGATAAGGCATAGGCCTGACCCCAGGATATGAAATATGGGTCCATTTGGGGTACCCACTTCACCTATAATATAAGGTCATATAAGGTCTAAATTTCCCAAGTCACGAGAGTTCGTGGAATGTGTTTGGTGAGGGGGTTACTGTAAGCAGCATGGTGACCCTAAGAAGCCTCATGGCCTTGATTTGATGCTTTCGCTTGGGCAGTTGACACCAGCACCATTTGGCCTGTCGGAGCTTAACATCCACCAGTCCGAACTGAACATGCAGGTGCCCGAAGCGCCACCGCTGCCATCCTCAAGGGAAGCACAGGCGAAACGGGCAAATGATGTGGAAGTCAGAATCTACTCGTACTCGAACTAGGTGGCTTGCCTATTCTGGATGGACTTAGCTGCCCATGCCTACTGCCATTCCATGACTAAAGAGCCAAAGGGCCACACACGACTTCTTTGTTGTGCGGAGAGGCGGCTCCCAGGTCTGTGAGGTCTGCACCGGAGGCCGGAAAACATGGGAGAACAGGATCTATCGAACACCGAATTGGTCATGTCGATGAATGCCGTGATCAGTGAGGGGTCTTTGCACAGACGAAAGTTGTTGGATACACTCAATTGCTGGATAACTAATAGTTCGAGATCCTTCATCGATCTTCATAGTGCTTCCAGCTTCGGCTTCGGTTTTTGCCCTTTTGGTCACTCGGAGAGCGGCAGGAACGGCACACTCCTCCAGAGCCGCCGAAAGGGCAGCCGAATGTCAGTCCCAACTCGGTCCCTTGGATCAAGTTTGTGCTGCTTTAAGGTTCTTTGACACCATGAGAAACAATCGAAAACGACCATGTCTGATAATGTTTGAGAAGGCATCCTGATAAGAGACCTTGGATAAAGTCGAGTTCCGCAACTGCGCAGGATTCCGCAACTAGGATTCCGCAACTGTTTGGTCGGATTCCGCAACTGGGATTCCGCAACTAGGATTCCGAAACTAGGATTCCGCAACTAGGATTCCGCAACTAGGATTCCGAAACTAGGATTCCGCAACTGTCAAGATTCCGCAACTAGGATTCCGCAACTAGGATTCTGCAACTGGGATTCCGCAACTGGCGTTCCGCAACTAGGATTCCGCAACATTGTGGACTCCTCACTAGGATTCCGCAACTTTGTGAATGATGAGGGGGTTGGAGTGATGTCGAGATCACACGATGGGGACAAGGGGGGGTTGGGGGGTGGGGGGGTTGGGTGGGGGGCTAATGACGCTGGTTTGGATGTGCTTCGAAGGTGATGTCACAGGCACACACGCTATCGCATGATGTGGAGATCACCAGTTGCAAGTTTCAGAAGGCAAGTTGCAGAATCTGACTTTCCAGTTTCAGAATACCAGTTGCAGAATCTGACTTTCCAGTTTCAGAATACAAGTTTCAGAATCCCAGTTTCAGAATCCTAGTTTCAGAACCCCAGTTTCAGAATCCTAGTTTCAGAACCCCAGTTTCAGAATCCTGGTTTCAGAATCCAAGTTTCAGAACACTAGTTTCAGAACCCCAGTTTCAGAACCCTAGTTTCAGAATCCGACCGATTAGTTTCCGAATCCGGCTCTAACCGACCTTGGCCTTGCAAGGCGCCTTACTTTTCATCTATTACTTTAGATGCTTGTCTCCGGCTTCCATGCCAGTCCGGTGACCAGACCCAGACATTCCAGTGAGTGCAGGTACTTCCAAAGCCGGTGCCATACGAAGCTCGAACAGTTCCAGTTCCACCGCAGCAAGAAGACATGCCAGCCTTGCCGAAGGTCCGAACCTGAACGAACAATGACATGTTATGAAGGAACAATGAAAGAAACAATGGTCCTTTCCCAATGACAGTTCCCCGATCGCTGCTAGGGCCCTAGGAAGGATGAGGAAGGCCGCGTCGGCCAGAAGTAAACCGGGTGATCAAAAGATTCAACATAATGGAGCAGAGACCTTGATGACAGACAGTAATCTCAAGATCCCTTGTTGTCTAGCACACCCCAATTCTACCAGTGTTCGTTGAACACTTTTGTAGGTGACACCCATTGGGCCAGCAAAGTCACTTGATGTTGCCAAAGCTCATCAGCCAGCCGCCTTTGCCAAGAGTCCAGCCACCCCGATTCAAGAGGACGGAGTTTGTGAAACATGACTGACCGCTGACTCGTGGAGCAATCTGGAAACAACTGCTAATTGCGCGACCTTTGAAGTTGAGGTTCAGATGGAGCCAAATGAAAGAAACAAGAACAGTAAAGAAGCTCTTGGAATGCGGTGCTTTGACTCAATGGAAGCCAGACAGAACGTAGTAATATGACAGGCTATGGCACCTCTGGAAATGACAGTGGCATCTGCGGCTGCGAAGCTTACGTCGCGACATGCTGCAGAGTCTGTGGAAGCTACAACAACAGCAGATGCAGCAGATGTTGCAGACACGGTGCAGAAGCAACAGGCTCGCAACATCAAGAAACGAACAGCTTTTCTGAATTTTGACATCGCCTCAATAGAAAGTCTATATACTACTGTATATACTTCTGCATACGGTACAGTAGACTTTACATCACAAAAATTTCCATATTTTACTCATGTCCACAGCTTCCCTGAAGCCGGTCACATCATATCACTTCACACACCATTTTTTCCCTGTTAACTGCCAGCGACGTCCGAAGCGGCTGAAGGAACAGTTGGTGATCCGCAGCTTGCCGGGCATGAAGCGTTTGAAGGGCTTCCAGACGAGCACTGGTGGCGCTCCTTACTTCCGACATGCCTCTGAGGCCTTTGATGCCTTGTGTCGTGAAAGAAAGGAAACTGATGCTGCTTCTTCCTACTCATATAGATGTTTAGCTTCATGGCCATCCATGGTTGAAGACCATATCATCCATGACACCTTATCACCTTGCGGCATGCAGTAAGATGTACACGCTATGCTGCCAACAAGTCTTGCAGGTGCCTTTGCCAGCGGCGCCCGTTGAAGTGCACGCCACAACTTTAGTGCCCACGGGGCCCACGATACCTTCAATGCAGAGCAACTACAGCAAGTGCAGCAACCACGTTTCCCTGTCGACTGGCTTGGTGAGTCTGTCAGAAACTCAGTGACAGACCTTGGCTGAACAGCTTGTGAAGAGCGACTGTTTGAATTGGATCAAGGTCGGGCATGCGACTTCTGAAGAAGAATCGTGGACAAGTCTCTTGGAGGCAAACATACAGCTGGCAGGGCCACTTTTCAGCTTCCTTGTTTATGCAAATTTGGGTCTATCCTCCAAGGATGGACCTCGAATACTTTGCAGCACAGCTGGGACCATGTGCCTTTGCTTCAAGCGCGCACTGTGGCGACAGTGGCAGGCAACAGACACCCACAGACTACAAGCTGACACCCCCATGACGCAAGCAGCAATTAAGATTCGCCGCCCAGAAACTTTTGGGTGCATTAACACATGAGTGACCATCCATTGAGCTTGTTTCGGAATAGCATCAGAGATGTGCCTTCTCCGGCCTACTCCAAAATTATGGTGCAGAAGATGCAGATTGATCACTGTCAGTGAGGTTCAAGCTTCGGACCATTCTCCCTGCTAACCACGAGGCCCAGGAGCGATGCTGACAGATCAACGGACTGAAGCAAACGAATGGATCGAATCAATCTGCATGCTTCTTCAGTTTTGTGTTCACGGCCCTTTTGTTTCGTTCTTTTGTTGAACAAGCACGATGTTTTTTGTCATTCAGATTAGGAGCCTCTTGAATCTTTGCCTCAAATGCATTCTTTGAGTGGCTTCCGGCGCCTTCAAGGTTTCAGCACCAGTAACTTGAACAAAGAAACCCGAAAGACGCACATCAAAAGACAAGTGTCAGCAAGATCACAGCCATTTTGATCCCTTAAAGCTGATTCCCAAGGCACTGGAGGTATGATGCTGGCGAATTTGCCCTCACACAAGCTGCATCCTCTTTGTGAGCTTGAAGACGAGGGCTATCAACATCGGACATCGCTCCAGCTCAGGGTACCGTCCACCCGAGTGCTTTCTGGCAGTTTCCGTTTGAGACGTTTCAGCACGAGCTGCGGTGGGTTACCATACTGCAAGCGTTAGGATAACGACTGTCGGCACTGGAGTCAAAGTCACCCAGCCGACCATTGACCATTGATTTACAATGTTGGATGTACAGAGGGGCTTTACAGAACTTGACAGGGAACACATCGTCTCAACGGTTGGCAGCTTGTCACTGTCGAGAACCTGCGAGCTCCATCGCTTGGCCTTTTTGATCTATTTTCATCTATCGTGTAGCACTTCAGATGTAAGAGGCTTGGGCATCAGACCCAAAGTTGCAGCTTTTGTTTAAGGCAGTCAACACATTGAAATGTGATGCTGGAAAGAATTCCAGCTGCCCTCTCTACCTCTCCCCTCTCTCTCTCTCTCTTTCTCCAGCCCAAAGAGGTTCCGTGGCTCGGAGTGAAAAGAAAGACACATAACTCATTCATCCATATTCACTCATAAGAGGACAAGGCAGAGTACTTGTTACTTCGTTAGCTATAAATTACAGGTGACAACGCTTCAATTGTGATGCGTAAGGACATCTTTGGTGTCACGATTGCCGGCTCTAAGTCCGAACCAGCTCAGCCCTCGAACAAGCCCAGCCAAGAATATGCCAAGATCCTCTGCAGTGACCGCAGTGTCCAATGTGTCGACAAAGCAGCTGAGGCTTGTCCACATTGTGGACAAGTCTACCTTCCAAACGCGTTCTTTTGCCGAAGCTGCCAGATGAAGCGTCACCTTCCTGAGGCTGGACAGATCCAACTCGATAAGATGCCGCCTTCAGTCCTTTAATTGTGAAGAAGATAGAAACATGGCCCTGGTGCACACCCGCAGAAAAGCGAGATTTGAAAAAGATAAAGGAACACAGAGGGATCAAGATTGCGGAATTAGCGGGTCGCTGATTTGCTGACTCCCATCACCCCTATGTTCTCCTTGAGAGGAACGTAGCAAATGTGGTACTGTAGTAAGGCTGTTCATGCTGTTCATAGACGCTTTGGACAGATGGCATGTTTTAACATGGCAGATAGCGCATGATAGCGTTCCCAATATGCTCTTAGAGGGCTGAATGCAGGTGTTACATCGGCTACCGCCTGGGCGAAGGCTGAACACAACCAATCTGGACTTCAGACGCAGAGTTTGCATGTCAGCTCTGTGTTTTCTCTGTGGGCGGGTGGCGGGTGGTGGATTGAATTTGCAGAAAAACTGTCATCTTTCTACTGAGAGTTTTCTGGGTTGAAGGACAGATATTGAATCCTTTGACAACGCTTTCAAAGCACTGCATTCCATAGAACTGAAAGGCGCGGGCAGCCAGTCCAGCCCCTACAGGCGTGTGAGAGGAAGTTGAGAAGGATTCTTTGCCGGGATGTTGACGCGAGTTGTGAGCAAAGGACATCAGTCACGATTGCTTTGATGCAGTACTAGTGACTAGTTTGAACAGGTTGAATCCGGCTGCATTTGAGAGATGTACATGTAAAGCAAAGATAAGCAAAGCAGATGCGGCGAAGTCTGATGAGTACAGGACGCTACTAGAAGCAAAGAGCATCGCTACTAGGAACAAGGAGGCTACTAGGGGCTCCTGCCCTTACTACTACTGTAGGAGCAAGGACTCTACAGCCTTTTCGCGCACGCGATTTGAACCAACTGTGGTACGTGAAGCTGAGCCTGGTGGCTGCATGCAGTGTAGAGGTCCCTCGGTCGGTGATCTTCGACAAGGAGCTGGCACGGTGGGACTCCAGGCGAACATGTTGATTTCCCGTGTACGTTGCCGTCGCCAAGCAGAATCACTTTTGTTGTCCAGGGCCAAGCAGCTAGAAGCTCAACCTAATAGGAATGGCCTCCAACCTAAAGAGCGATGGCCTCCAACCTAAGAGCGATGGCCTCCAACCTAAGAGCGATGGCCTCCAACCTAAGAGCGATGGCCTCGAACCTAATAGCGGCTACATCGTAGCCGTCGCCAAGCAGAGTCCCTACTACGCCTTAAATATTTTTGTTTGTTGTCCAGGGCCGAGCAGCTAGAAGCTCGCTTCCGGCGGCTGCGTGACGCTGGGGCCCTGCTTGTATCTAAACGGACTTGAGAAATCGAGATGCTCGCAGTGCAGCAGATCAGTCATCATTGAGTTGAAGCAAGTCTTGACCGATCGGCAGAGGCACGACGCTAGGAGCTGCGACTGACCAATGAAATGGCGACGTGTAGGGTTGAGACCACATCCAGACTTGATGCATCTAAGTCAGCCAGTTGTCCTGTTGAGAGTAATCTTCAACGCAGACTCGCAGACCTTAATTGGTGGTCTCAGGATTTTGCAGATGCTTACAGACTCTCTCCCTTGTTGCCGGGGGCTATGTTTTGATTGGACATTTGTACCCTTTGACTGTCCTTCAAGGTCCTGAATTAGCCACGACAGCAAAGGAGAGATTGCAGTCAACTGCAACTAATGAATCTTGGCCAATGCAACTCCCAGGTGGCTTAAATTAGAGCAACCTGCCAGAAGAAAAATGTTACGCATCAATTCCACAGCTTGCCCAGAACGAAGTTGTGTAGCAAGCAAAAACTGCTCAGATCTGGGAAGATGTGGAAGATTCAGAGAAGCGATTTGCTGGGTGGCCTCTCTGCTTTCCGACATGACGGGGCTCGCAAGTCATCCTGCACAATGCATTCGGGCATTCACCTTTGGATCAAGTCGAAGAATGGGAGTTGGGGCGACGACCAGTGGAATCGCGAGCAACTTCGAGAAACCTGTTTCTCAGCCATTCAAGCAAGGGCTGATGTTCTACCAACACATTTGAAGGGAACCCCTCAAAAAAGGAAATCACGGTTATCAGTCATCAGCCGTCAATTATGATCCAAAACCCAATCAGTGCAGAACAATGCAGAACACATTTTACGTAGCTGAAGAGTTCCCATATCTTGAGCAGATTGAAAGGCCTCCGCTCTCCGCATTTTTGCGCGGCTGTAGACACCTCTGAAGCAGAGGATGTTCGACTGGGATGATGTTCCCGATGATATTGCCAACTACGTAGCCGTGGAGCAGCTCAGCTCCGAGGAAGAGACTACTGAAGTCCAACCTGCAGCGGAGCCAGCGAAGGAAGAACAAAGGCGCGGGCAACTGAAAGAATCTAGGTCCAGTGCGTTGGTTAAAGGCAACGATAGGCTTTTCGTAAAATTCTAGGAACGTTTCTTCAAGAACGCTTCTTCGACTTCCTTGAAGAAGTACTCAGCCCATCTTAGCCCTTACTTAATTAAGTAGCGTTTACTTACTTATATAAGTAGTAGGGGGGCAGAGCGGAGGTTAAAAAAAAATCAACTAATGTTCGAAGTTGCCCTTGTGTTGAAGGAATCCTGAATATCCCTGAATCACGGGTCGAGGCTGTTTGCTCTTTTCCGCATGTAGGCTTGGCTATGAGCTGGATGGTGTCACCCTTGCACCTTCTGAGTGCACGTCCTCACTGGTGCCAATGGATGATGAGGAGTTCTCTTCAGCAGAGCTTGAGACAGTTCGTTGGATGATGCAGAAGGTGCTGATGCGGCAGGACAGGTGCCATGTAACAACATGGTTAATCAAGCGAGGTTCGTTTTGGACGAATCTTTCTCAGGACATGTTCCTGCTGGGCCCTCCTGGATCGCACCTTTTCTGCACAGCCTTAAAGACATTGACGGAAGCATAGTATAAAGCAACGAATGTAGCTCCAAGCATGATCCTTTTTTGACTTTTTAGCATCTCTGTTGCATCCGAAGCACTCTTTTTCTTCATCTAGTCGGCTGAAAGGATTGCTGGGTTGCCAATTCAAGCCAGCACGAAAAGCTCAAGTGTGTTGCGAGTTGTTGACTTTTCTTGTAGCCTGCCCAATTCAAGGCTCATTAGGTCTGGTGCTGAGAAATCTGCGGAGACTAAATCTCACATCAACAAACTGACTGGGTGTCAAAGCTTTCAGAGTTTGCTCAGACTTCTCACAAGCAATGAGCTGTTGATGCTTATGTTGTTTGCCTTCTTCGATGCTCTCTCTGACAGACGCCCGAAATTGCTTTCTCAGGCGTCTAGTCTTTCGATTTTGCTCCCTCTTTGGCCGTGAGGCTGGGGCCCAGCCGAATTTGGCCTAGCTATGCCTAGCTTAAACTGTCCAAAATTCTGTCAAGCCTATAGGAAATAGAACGTTGAAGGCCGTATGCCTTCATGCTTTGATTGTCCTTGCCTTTCCCAAAAATAGAAGTCACTATGTCTCGGGCAGGTAGAATATGTCGGCATCACTGCAGATACAAGCGAGGCAGGTGGAGACAATCACAAGTGACTAGTGAGAGATTATTCAACGAGCACAGACTTATCAAACAAAGGTACTGTAGTTGAAGGCTGAAGGTGCAGCTGTCGCTCAGTCTGGCAGCAATTTGGCAAACTGTTTATGCAAAGGCTGACCTGAAGCAGCGCCGCGAGCTGCGAAATGGTGCCAGCCCTATTTTGATGCCGGACATTGCTCGACATTTTGAGCTTGGGACCAACTTAAAGTCTTAAAGATTGCAGACAGCAGTAGTTTGGTCAGGTGAATGTACCAAGACTGGTCAAGGAAAAGCTTAGGCGATGTCCCCTGGTCCCGGCTCCAGCTGAACGCCATACACTGTTGGATTGAACAGAGCTATGGCGGCGGAAGAGGATTCCACAAGCACAGAAGGCGCTGGGGCTTGGGCACTGATCTGTGTAGAATCTTTTGAAGGATTCTGTGCTCGAAAGTTGTCACTCATTTAGGTCGGAAAAGATCTTTCGTTTGGCTCATCACAAGTATGAGCCAAAGATTCATGTCCAAGGGATCCACATGACATGGTTGGTGCATGTATCTACCCATTTTTCTGCTGTTACTTTGAGACTTGGTCAGAATCAGGACAGATTATGCAGGAAGCGCTAAGACCGAGTCCGCAGGAGCCGCTGATGTTGGCAGCGACAACTCACGAGAAGTCGTAAAGTCACAGATTCGACACTCTGCTTCACAGAAGTTTGCTGTAAGAAACATTCAAGACTATTCACGGGTTTGGCAGTCTTTGGTTGCCTTTGCTGCAATCCAAAGAGAATGAGTTATATATATATAGATAATAAGTGATATATGTATATTTGTATACAAATTGTAAGTGGACTTCCTTCAGGAGTCTAAGCTATGCCGGCGAGAATTTGCAGCCTCTTGGTCTTTGGGATTTGTGCTGAAGTGATCGCTCTTTGAATGCTGAAATGATTCTGATTGTCTTTTTCCCCTTTTTTCTATACAATCAACCGATATTCTCTATATTTAGCTGAATGCTTACAAATTTCTCAATGCTTAAGCTGAATGCTTTGACCAAGATCATGAGCTGGACATTGGCAGTGAACCATGCCACAGTGACAACGCCCATTTTGCCGCTTGGCTGGGCAATGACGCTTAGCAATGCTGGAGTCCGAAAAACGCGGCAATGCTTTCAAGGTATGCCTCCTCGGTGCTGACTAATGCAAATGGCCAAGCCGGCAATGCAATGTGGCTTGGACATAGAATTGCACACATTGAACTTCGTTGCACACAGACCTGAGTGCACACTTGACTTATATAATGTCGAAAAGCCTTCTCCTAAGGCTCTATGGTGCAACCTTAGTTTGCAGCCTCTTCTTTGCGACGTTGATATTCGGCGTCCTGGGCTCAAAACAAGGCCTGTCTCTCTCTATGGGACTGCCGCTCAGCCAGATGCAAGGCGTCAATTGTTCATGGTCTATCTTGCAGATTGCGATGAAGAGGCCAACTTCCTTGCTAGCGAGAGCACCGCAATTCCACCATCAGTCCAGTCCTTTTGGTTTGAGGGGATTGCCTAGCGGCCCACGTAGCGCAGCACCTCATATGACTCTCAATCTACGGCTCACCGAGAGTATCAAAGGTATTGCGTCTACGTTTTCCTGTTTGCAACTGCCGCCTCTATGTGTGCTTGGAGCTCAGAGAAGAACACGTTTCTACTTATATATATATATATACACTGTACATACTGTAAGTATTTTTGAAGGAGCGTTGGCAGGATTTACACATGTGACTCACGAGAGTAGCACACAAGAGTTCTCACAATGTCTCACACCTTCTCACGGGCTGAGGATGTAAAGGATGCCAAGGGCTCTTGCATCCAGGGCAGCCCATACCAGCTTTTAGTGAACTTGGGAGGAGCCTTCGTAGGCCGGAAGAAGCAGTAATTTTGCCGGTCCACTCAGTTCCCTTCTGTTGCCTTTGATGCAATCTATCAGCGTTTTAACATTCCTTTGAGGTGGCATTGGTGCCGGTGTGCTGTGGACCTGCCAGGGTGCCTTCTTTTCTGCAATTTGTGCGCGGATAGCTGAAGCAGAAGACCGAGAGGCTCCTGGACAAGTCTGCACATGAGCTTCTGTCACGGAAGACAGCGGGACCAGCTGGGTAGCTTTGTTTTTTACTGCGCCGCCAGACGCCCAACGTCACTGCAGAGCTAGCTGGAACCTTTGCATTGATTTTCTTGGCCATGGAGAAGCTCGTCATGATGGTTTGATAGCGAACAGTGAAATTGCAAGAGGAAGAATGATCTACCCTCGGCATAGCTAAGCACAAACATTTCCACTCTGAGGGCAGTGATCAGAGCTTCTGCAACGCTTTTGACAAAATATGCGCATTTCCAGTACCCAGTGCTCTGTCAGCAAGAGGTGCTGCACAGTTCGGGAAACTGGTAAAGTTCTATTGTAGGTAGATTACAAGCTGCTATTGCAAGCTTAAATTTTGTTTGCTGCTGCCGAGGTAGTTTTCTATATTTTTTCGGGCCTTGCGATTGTCTCCACCTTGACTTTCCAAGCGTCCTGGCTCTGAAATGCACTCGGCCAAGTTTGTTTGTGTTGTTGCCGTAGACTTTATGCCAGTCTTCTTGGCCAGTGGCTATGCTCGAGTCTGTGCTCATGGCAAGTTTGCTGGGCAGTGGCTAGCAATGGTGTCAACTCTTTTGGAGGCCACCGCTATTAGGTTGGAGGCCATCGCTTTTAGGTTGGAGGCCATTGCTATTAGTTAGATGCCATCGCTATTAGGTTGGAGGCCATTGCTATTGGTATCTATTAGTATATAAAACTCACTATAACTCAAACGAATATTGTTTGTTTTTTGTCTCCAATTTAGACAATTAATGAGTTTGGAGGCCATTGCAGCTGGATGCTTGATCAGGTCCTGGCAACCGACATGACCACAGCAGCGCCCCGCGGCTCCTTGTGCGCAAAGGCAAGCTCAAGGTTTCTGTCAAGCTGATTGCATTTCACTTCATCATGTCAGAATCGAAAGGCAACACATGCGCTGCAGGCTCTGAGTGCCATCCGGTTGTGGAAGGACCCCAAAACCTTTGTGCCTGGGACCTCCATGAACTGAGCTTGTGACGGGTTTCTAAACACTTGATTCACCGGGGAAGGTTGCACTTGATTCACAAACTACGTATCATATATATATATATACACTATAATATAGTATAATATATATAGGGTTTGTCCTATTACCTGTACCAGTCAGCAAACAATTATAATCTTTTTTGAACCATCATCATCCA